AAACTCATGCTATCAGCTAACAAATACTGCTCTCACTGGCCACTGGCAATGATATCGTGAAGAGTTGTACGACTATCTTTGTGGAAAGTTCCAGATCCCTGAAGTGTTTCATTTCATAAAGTAAAACTTACCGGAGCTGTGTGCATTCAATCTATTATGAACCCATACACAGGCAACAATATTTAACCCCTCAAATGGAAAAAGTACAAGATTCACTTCCCAGTGCCACCATTTTTCACACAGGTGTCCGTAGTTATGCCATTATTAGGGGGAAAATAAGCGCAAGTCTTGCTGTTTAAAAACTGTTTACTCACAAAATAAATATAGAATAAGAATAATAAATAAGAATTAAAAAATACAAAATTTAATGTTTAGAGTAAAAGTATAATAAAAATGATGTTTCTATACTAAAAGAGATCCCCCAAAACGGAGTTCAGAACAATTTATTTTTAGACCAGCAAAGTGTAATATCAGGTTTCAGTATTATACCTTGTAAAATCAGTATACCTAAAAAAACATATATTTCTTCTGAATTGGTTGGATGCCACGATTTTGTTATTGATATTTTTTTTGTAAGATGTGGTACATATACCGGTTTGAAAAACAGTTCGTTTCAGTAACAATAAAGTACAGGCTGTTCATCAACAAATAATTCAAGAAAGATAAATGGGTTTGAAACATCCGTTATATCTTTTTTTATTCCTGGCACCTACTACAAACAGTAAAAAAAAAAACGGAAGACAGAGAATTAGGAAAGAAAACAAAAAATATGTTTTACTCAAACAAACATGAGCTATAACTGCACAGTCATTACTTTCACCACCACCTACTACAAATAGCAAACAAAAATGGAAGACACAGAATTTTAAAAAAAAAAAATTAATCAAACAGGAACATGAGAAATAACCGTGTGGTCAATTACTTTCACCACTTCCAAAACATCCCCCTCTCCTCTTAAATAATACCTTCCTTCACATACTCTGTCACGGTAATTGTGATGTATTCCAAAACGTCGAGAATAATTTTACTTTTAACATTGTCAAAGCAAATAATAGTATTTTGAAAGGGCATATATGTATGTCTGGGGCAGTTAACGCAGCGACTGTGCAAGATGTATACATACATGCCCATGGTAGTTAAGGGGTTAAAGAATTTTGCTTATGAAGTTTCTAGTATGAATGTCTATTATAAAAAGGATACAAATTTTTTGAATAATTCATATTTTTTTATTTTGGTAAATCATGGTGCATTACTGGTGTTATTTATTCTTGTATGTTTGTTTACCTGCCCTGCTGACTGCTAGTCAATATGAAAACAAAAAACGCTTTTTTCATTCTCCACCAAACTAGAGCTACTTTTCTTAGTTCTGTATAGTACAAAGTCTTTAATCCGGACTCGTCGGGACTTCGGCGAATCCGGATTAGGGGTTTTTCCGGATAATAGATTATCAATTTAAATCTGGTAAAATGGCATGCAGAAATTATAAAATTAAAAATATGAAACCGTAATTTATAAAATAAAGAGCAATTATGATCTAAAGGGTATCAAAATTTACACACACACAAAAAAGCTTAATATTTATTTGTTTACTTTATTAAATATTTCTTTCAATATAAGTTGTTTAAGTGCTTCGTGTTATGTGCTAATACTTTCTCTTTAATTCTATAAACAGACATAATTTCTTGTTCAGTTACAAAGTTCCGCTGTTCAAGTCCCGTAATTGCTGTGCCGAGAATACCGACTAACTTGTCAATCGAAATTTTTTCATTTTCACTAACCTCTCTGTCACTTTCTTCATGCCTTTATCCATTTTTTGCAGCAATTCCACTTTTCGTTTGATGGACATCGAAAGATGCTTTCGCTTTGTAGATCCTTTGGCAGCTTCAGAATAGGAAACTCTCTTTGACATAATCGAAAGTTCAAGCTTAATTTTTATAAAATTGCTCTACAGTCTGCAAAAAATAATAAGGCGGATCCAATTAGAAGATTAAGGAACAAAGCAATCTGCAACATTAACTGAAATAGATAATTAGATAATTATAGCCTACCTTATACCGTCCGTTGTACATTAAACGCGCATGCAGAGAAAGTTTGTAGCTTTGAGGTTTGAATTATAGATAATTCCGGATTAAAGACTTTGTACTGTATTTTATACATTTTCTTTTAATCCTACGTTTTTGTCTCTTTTCCATTTTATTTATCATCAATATTATATTTTCTTAAAGTGAAGAAGCATCTTCAGTTTTGGATTAGTCTCTATTTCATCAACATAATGACCGAGAGAATATGAAATACTAAACTGACTGACAGCAAGTTCAAAGGAAGAATAAGATAGTCTGAAAATTAAGGATCCTTAATTTTTAGAAGTGCAACATCTGATTGATTAAAGTAAACAGAAAAGTATTTGGAGTATCAGATGTTAGTTCAAATATTAAGTTCAGGTTACCTCCTGAAGATATTTTAATCTGAAAATATTAAGTTGACTATATCGATTTAAAATTATCTTTGCAGTAAATAACTTTTTGCTTTGAACATTTCCTACAAACTGTCACTCAGCCAAAGGCTATTGAAAGTTCTAAGTTCTAAGTTTTATTTAAATTTTCAATAATTTTTCAGTTGTGTTTAAGATTTAAAAATTATTTAAATCTTAAATTCAAAACTGCCTGATAATTACAATTTAATTTTATTAATTATTATATGCCAATCTCAGCAGCAATTACACTGGATTTTACTTTTCAAACCAATTTTCATTAATGTTTTAACATATATACACTACAAAGTTCTGTAAAAGACGTTCAATATCATGAATAATTTAAATTCCGAATCTCCAAATCACCAGCAAACCCACCCTTTTTTTTTTTAATGCTTTACACGCTTGTGCATACAGTAGTTTTTAATAATAAAACACATGGAGAGTCCTGATTCTTAATTTCAATTTGGGACTGACACTAACCACACAAATCATCATTATTTTTTGCTTTCAAACACAATATGACTGTAAACATACTGCAGCTTAGAAATGACTCATGCAACAATGTCTAAACAACTTCCTTTTATTTTTAATATTAGTTATTCATATACCAATTTAAATTACCATACCAAAACGTATGGTAATTTTTTATGTTGACATTAACGATTATAGACTTCAGCTAACTCTTCTGTGAAGTGTTGGCCATGATGATGAGGAGATATTTAATAAAAATTTCTTTCCATATGCAAAAATACATTTTGTAATTGATACTTACTGGTCAATGATACTTATTGCTGTTTGAACTGAGAATGACTGATATGTTATTCAGTTAATCCCAGGACTAATACCACAGCTGATGCAGCTGCAATGGGCAACAGAATTTAAGAGCAGGCAGACATTTTAGAATTCGCAGAAGCACCAAGTAACAAAGTTAAGGGATGGCAAAATCTTTGGAATTTAGCGACAGCTTGACAGCAGAATTTTAGAACCGGCAGTGACTGCACAGGGCCACAAAATATCTAGTGCAGGCTCGGGATAAGCCTTAAGTATATGTACGAATTTATTTCTTAGGGACTCTAATAAGCCTAAACATGTGCGGGAAATAATCATACGTATAATTAAAAACCTACAGTATAATTCAAGCTTAGCTACATCAGCCTGTGATAGAAGCAAGACAAAATTTTGCAGAACGACAAGCCTTTATTTGCCAATATCATGATACATCCCCAATAGTTAATATCAGACGATAGCAAAGCTACATGATGTACTTGTGAATTCAATTTTTTTTATATATATACTGCAAACAGAAAGTGATATTTTCCAATTTATGGAATTTGTGGAGAAATGGTAATAAATGAAGATAATGTAAAGAGCTTTTTATTGCTATGACAATGCCCAATCATCACTCAACTAATGGATGGCGAATGAATTTGCATCATGGTCTGATATCCAGAAAATATCACTACCAATAGTGAAAAAAGAGACAGACTGTTGAGAATGAAAAAATCTTGAGTGACAATTTAGTGAGAACTCATGATGCGGTAATTACAGGACTTCAACAATGAAACTTTGTAACTGAACAAAAAATTTATGCTTATTTAAAGGGAAAATATTAGCACAAAAAAAAAAAAAAAAAAAGCAAATTAAACAACTTGTATTAAAAGGCTTAATAATGCAAACTAATAAATAGAGAGCCCACCTTTTTCTAAATTTTGATTTTTTTAAGGTCATATATGCTTCATGATCTCATATTTTTAATTTTACAATTTCTACACACCATCTTACTAGATTTAAACTGACATGGAAAAATCCCATGTCATTAGTCCTGATGAGTACGTATCTTAGACTTTGAATTGTATGCAAGAACTAAAATTAATACATAGTTCCTGCCAAGCAAGTTTGATTTCCTGACATAAGTTTCATTGCCACTTAACTGTAATGTTGCAAAATAAGAGATCGATGAGGTGTGAAATTAGAAAAAAAAAAGCTTCCAGATTTAAAATTAAGATAGTTTTTGTTAGGTTAAAGTTTGGTTTGGTTTATTTGATTATGGCAAAGTCCTCGAGGGCTTTCTGTCTAAGGGGAGGAATGCCTTTGTGGAGGACTCTGTAAGGGAAACTGGCTTGTATACACATTACACAAGGGGAAAACCACGTAAATGTTAATGCAGCCAACCCATTCACGGGATTTGAACATCGGACTGAACTATCAGTGTTCGGTGACTTTACCGCTCGACTACGGGTGGGCTCATTAGGTTAGGTTCAGTTAAGGATGCATCACAATTATTAGCATTTTATTAGCTTTCATTATGTTAGAATGTTCATTATATTTCGAAATTACACAACTGTATTTTTACAATAATTATACAAACCATATGGAGAATTATTACTTTTAATATCTAACATTTCCGACTCAACGTATGAAAAACAGCAGTAATTCTTTTAGTTAAATGTTATATGTCAGTAACACGAGTTTTCATTAAAAATCTTTAACATTTCAGTCAGCTACAAACATGAATGATAAAAATGAATTTAACAGCAATATTTTTATAAAATTTAATCTTATATATACATATACACATCTGAAGATACATAATGAAGTTTCAGCATATATGATATGCAGAAATATTACCAGTGTTAATTGCATACAATGTTGATATTCAGCCACACTTCCATATAGCAATAACATCTGTTAATAATGAAATATCTCTAAAATACTTAACTATTTAGTTAATTAATTTTACAAATGATAGAAAGGTGATTGAATATTGAAAACTAAAGATATGCAAAAAATGTAAAAAACAATTTATAAATATAATAACTTTATACACAGTTTCCTTCATTTAGAGACAAAAGATAATTTCCAAGTATGTACAATTTTTACATACTTTTTTTAAGATGGCACATCATGCTTATATCACTGTTTCTGAACATCTCTCAGGTTGAATACAGCAAACTGCTTTTAAAAGGCATTAAATTAGTCCCATTTTGAAATGATTTTCACTAGTTTTGATTTTAAAACCCACCTATTTGCATTACATTTAAAATTTTAAGCAACAAAAACCACAAATATAATAAAAAATATAATTAAAACTCCAAAGACTTTTAGCATAAGCCATCGATTAGATGTAACAGACTGAAAAAATTTAAGAATTTCAGAATGCGCTGCTTCTACGTTCAGCTGGGCATCTTCAACATTTGAATCAATCCTATAATAAAGAATAAAAAATTCTAATTACCCACTCAGATCAGTTTTATAGCCAACTATAATACTGATTACAGATATATTTTTGTACATGTTATTAGTATTTTTTGTGAAATGAGTTATTTATTTCCAAAAAATGCATTTATATTCAAGATATGAAAATAATTAAGCAAATTAAAAAACTATTTAAAGCAAGTAATAAATACTGTTAAAAACTGCACTATGTTTGGTGAAAAAAAAACTTATGTAGCAAAAAACTATGTTCAGTTCTTTTAGATTATTCCCCCCCCCAAAAAAAAAAGGTATTCATAAAGCAATGATGTTGGTAAAATAGGCAACCAATGATGTTACTTAAATGCATTTTGGTGGCAATAGTATGTGCCCACACGCATCAGATGAGCACAGATCAACAGTAAACAATAAAAGAATTCACATTCTACGAAGCTGTACTTCTTAATAGCCATAAGTATTCATTTTCTTATTTATCTTATAGTTGCCCTATAGCCATAAATAAGTATATCCCCTAACATATCAACATACTGATCATATCTTTGAACATGCACACACACAAAAGGGAGAGGGAAATCACATATCTGAAGATAAATATGGATACAACAATTAACACAATATCCTTTTGTCCTGTGCATCTTAACCACCTTTCTGCCAAATTTTTATTGAGATATTCTAGTAATAAACTGGACAAATGCATGATTGTAGTCACCAATGTTATATTCAACTGCAGCATACAATGCTTTTTGAATAGCAATGTATTCTCCCGATGCACTACAAATATGCCAATAAATTGTTATGTAATTAAAAATACTTTTATGGCATGCTTACAATGATATTTTTTGTATGCAAATGAATTTATCTATAACGGAAACGCATTTATTAAATATTTTATAGCGGGTTTCTATGGGTTAAAGCCAAACTTCAAATAAACATCTCTATCAATACTGGTGAGGAGCTGGTATTACTAGTTTAAGGAAAATTCACCCACAATTGTCAGTGAGTAGCCAAGCTCTAAATGTTCATATAGAGAGCATGTTTTGAGGAAGGGCTCAAAACTGTGCCTTAAGAGGCTATCACTTCTACGGACGCGCGGCCCTGAGCGGGACAGTTCCGAGAAACAAGATTCTGGTAGCACTGCTTTAAGCAGGAGGCTTCCGAGAAATGTTTTGTCTAGCTAGGAGGAACATGTCCCAGCTATGAGCCACATTTTGAAACTTTCCCGAAAATGTTCCGTCTGGAGACGTGTTCCTCATACGTTCAACCAATCAGACGAAAGTTCTGCTTCTGAAGGATCACGGTAACTTTCAATATGGCGATGGCTCTCACTGTGAAGTCATGGATGGTGGAAATAGAGGCCAATTTAATTATTGTTATTTTGTTGTAATATAACTGCCTGAGTCATTTAAAAAAAATGTTTATATATTCATTAAGTATATAATCGTGGAAATTTCAGAGTTGACAGTATTTTATGACGTTCTTGCAGTTTGGATTTGTTTACAAATTGTTCATTGCCAAAAGTTCGCTAATTTCGTCGTATTTCGTGCTGATCGTGTATTATCACTGTTATGTAATGTTATGCAATAGAATTTTATTTCTTAAATTTAAATTGAATAATTTTTTAAAACCCGTCTGTATATCCGTGGCTTTTCTTCTAATTACTTATCTTTGAAATTGTTAATTGCATAATCAGTGCCACATTTTAAATAGCATAAAAGATGCATAAAAAAGAAAAGCATAGTTTATGTAACAATGAATATACTCATTAAATTTGTCTATTATTTTCATGTTATTAATGAAATACTTTTTGAATTCTAAATACATTAGAAGCTATACTTTTATTGTAAATGCTACATATTGAAACATTGGAAATTTATTGATTTATTATTATGCATGAGGAAAAACATTTGTACATACATTCATTAATATAAATTTTATTCATTACATTAATATTAATAAATATATATCAACAACTTCTAAACCATTGCATCTCTCTATCTGTATGTAAATATATGACTTATTAGATGTGTAGAATATTAGAATATATGTATGTATGAACATTGCCAAAAAGTTTATTTGAAGTTACTTCTAATTCATATAACGATCATGTAATTGGCAGCAACTGTAGTCATCAGTTCTTTGCAAATTATTATGGATATGTAATAATCAGTTGAAAAATAATTGATGAGCATTTGAGTACTAAAGTGTGTACACATTTTGTTTTTGGGTTAATTCATAATTATATCATATGTATGATCTACGTAATATAAACATGACTAATAAATAATAAGAAATGTTACAGCTATGCATTTATAATATTTGATTACTTAAAATAGTGCACAACTGATTATCACCTTCATGTGTGTTCATATATTGAATTGTACTTTCCAATTATGTATACAGGCCTACTAGTGGCCGAAGAGTCGTTCAACACTGGTAGTTCTGTCTGAGGTTAGAATGCCGCAAACGGGCTGGCTACATGGGCATTTCTTTGGTTTTCCCCATTTGTAACTAATATACAAGTCAGTTTTAAAAATCTTCTACAAAGGGTTACCTCCTGTTAGGCAGATATCCCTCGAGGCTTTGCCGTAATCACATAAAACAAACTCATGATGTGCACCTCCTAATTTATAGAGTTGGTACAATTAATGTGTTTTAGGTATATTACTGAGTGTTCTATGGGACAGTAAATAACTTGCACATGTTTGATTGCTCATGTATTCATATGCTTTATTTAATCTTCATTTTACTCAATAATATCTGCTGGCTGTGAGGATGTAAATATCAGCCACATAGATTTTTGTGATAGAAGTTTTTTTTTTTTTTTTTTTTGTCTGTTTGTTTATACTTATGGACAGAATAGTAATTATGAGCCATAAAGTTAGTCAAGAAAATGCTTTCACCGGTCACAAATTTTCCAGTGAGCCATCAAATTTTTATTGGAATGCAGACATCACAAAATACACATAAGCAATGTCTGATAAACTTATCCAGCACATGTTTTACAGAATTTGGCTATTACTGATGTAATTGACTGCTGTAACCAGAAGTGTGTTTATTTGTTACTTGAAGTGCCAGAGTGGAGATCAGAGTGATTAACTTGTTAGCAATCACCTTTCTATTATCTTCCATAACTAACAATAAAGTTTAAAACGAAAAGAGTGTGAACGATACAAAACAACATGAAAGCAAACGTCACTTTCGCCAATCTGAGCGATAAATGATTCTTGTTTGGCTTTCAGCCTGTTTACAAAGTGAAGATGGTAACCCAATTTCTCGGAAAAGCCATTCTCAGAACTGTTCTTTCAAACGTTTTGTTCCGGCAACAAATATCGTATGTGATAACAGCATTAAAAATATTCATATTTCTTTGCTTAGTTCTGAGGATCACTAACAATAAGCTGAAATCTTCTTCCTGAAATTTTTATATCACTTCTTGATACTGCTGAAAATAGGTGTTACATTTTGAAATTATGCTAAAAAATTGCCAATACAAATCATATTTTCACACAATCCAAAATACAAAATGAAATGTCATCTGTCATAACAAAGATGAAAGTGACCTTTTTAAGGGGTGTTAGAATCCAAAAATCTTCAAAAAATGATGATTTCGGATTTTTCCATTTTCAAATTCATCACACTTTTATCTTTCTAAAAATACCATTTTTTAATCTCTATGAAAATTAGAACTGTAAAAAAAAAATCTAGTTTTAATTTGTCATCGAATGCTTTGATAAATAAGGATTTTTACATAAAAACGTGCTTTTTTCCAAATGTGACTTTTCTATACTCGATGTATCCTAACGCTCCCAGGTATCTAAAATGTTTATGACTTATTTATTAGGTTTCCTAATATTTACTGAAATGAGCTTTTTGAAATAAAATAAAGAAAAAAAAAATTTTTTTTTTAAATTTTTTGTGTGAGAAAAGTGCTAAATTTTACGGTGCCTAACAAAATATTCTGTAAATTACTCTAAAATTCAAAATGTTTCAAGAACTCATTTCAGTATAATCATATAGGTATACTTTAATCACACAAAACAATTTCAAGCGTGTGTCTACAGAAGATTTTGAGAAAAGGTACATTGAAAATGCCCAATTTAACATTGTCGGTATAGGGATTTCTGATACCCTTAAAAAATCTTGCAGTGACTTCTATCAGTACATATATTATCATTAGCCATCACATTGATATAATTTTTTTTTTTTTTTTTTTTTAAGTTTTATAGGATAAATGCAAGTAATTTATTTCAGAGGAATATCATACTCTGAATTACTAGATAAGCATAAAAGCTTTAGCAAAGTGTTAGCCATAATTGTTTTTGGAGTGGTCAAATTGTAATATTAAACTTTCACCTACCTTTGAACTAACTCTTCTTGTTCTTTAACCATGTGTGCTAATTCTTTAAATATAGTACCTAATTCCACTATTGTGGCCTCTATGTTTTGCATAGCATCAGACCGTGTTTGAATATACGAATCCTGGAGAAAAAATATTGAAAAATGAAATTAATGATAGTAATAAATGCAATCATATTTAATGCATACCTTCTGTCATAAGAGTAAAAATCAGAAAAAAATGTACAAATTTAAATTTACTGAAGAAGCTGACAATTGAAAAGGGGACAATGCTTGTCACAAGAAAATGGAAATTAGACAGCTGAAATTTATTTTGACGCATTTACAGCCAAATTTGAGAAGCATACTTATAGTGTGCTTAAATCTAATTGTTTAATTATGACAATCAAGACATTTAAAAATTGCCAAATATCCAAGTTAGAAATTTTAAAATAGAGAGTAGAAAATAAAAATTTTGTTGCTCTATAATTTCTAATATATTAGAGTTACTTAAATCTCATTATAATGCTATAATGCACTTAAAAATACTGTCATGCAGTTTACAAATGAAGCCAAAATAAAATTGTTAAAAATGTTAATAGGTTGCCGAAACTAAAGACACATGATGGAAAAATTGAGGTTCCAAAAGAGAACTAGTTTTTGACTTAAAAATGTGTAGGTATTTAGACATTAAATATTGTTGGAATTTATGATGATTATTGTTATATGAATATTACCTTATAAGGAAAGCTATTGGACTTTTTAATAATAACAGCCATAAAACTTTCAAAGGAGTGAATACAAAAAAGTCTAACATTTTACAATCACTTGCAATTTCTAGAACAGTGCACGTAGAGCAGCATGCATGATTGTAGCATCTGCAGTCATAGATTGGTAAAAGTTATGTTTCTGTGAAATGCAACTTGAATAGGTAGTGACAGGAACAGATTCATAAATTAGCAGTTATCAGAACAGGTAAGAATAGTCAAGTTATAGAACCCTTGATAAATCCATTCTACACACACTACAACCTATTTACATTCCTTATATTTACAAAGACTAACCCAATATTGTTTTAAAGGTATATTCGTTGAACATATTCCACTCAAGGGTTCTCATTAACGCCTTACAGAATTACACCCCCTGATACTAGGAACGAAATGAAACCTTTCCTCTCTCACCTTGTTGGCTTCTTACATTTTCCCCTTCACCTTCTCTGGCAGGGAGCAGGAAGCTAATTGGCTGATAATAGAGGTACCTGATAGAGTGTTACATATGTCATACACAATATGTCCAGAACAGAGGCACTTGAGGTGATAAAGGAAATATGAGCTAGATTTAAAATCAGAATAGCTGTTTCTTTGATAGATTCCTTTAAATATTAGAAGTGGATTGCTTATCCCATATTGCTTTTTCTTCTGAAATTTGATATATGTATACTGAGAAATTTCTGCCACTTTGTATTCCATTGCAATACTGTCTGAAGATCCACACTAATTTCGCTTGCTTTATTCATTGTTATCTTGTTTTTTTTTTTTTTTTTTTTTTTTTTTTTTTTTTTTTTTTGGGAGAACTGCTATTAAGGAGTTGTTGCTTCAACAGCATTAGCAGCTACATTTTGACAGAATAAATTACTATGCATAAAGTCCATGAATGAAGAAACCATATCATCTGGTGGATACTTTTGCATCCCCTTCACTAATAGCATCAGGAGTACGAACTATTTGGGTATTTGTAATACATATATTATTCCTTATCCATATTTTTTTGTGATCAAACATGCCTTTGTTTTGCATCACACCTGCCCGAAATATGCCTCATCACACAATGAACCTGTTACTCAGATGACTGCCAGACTGTGGCTATAAATATTATCAGCATGCACACAACTTTATACACCCCAATCTGGGAGTTGCAGTTGATTACAAAATGTCATACTTCACACCTGTTGTTTTGTTTAACTTCTTGATCAATTTCAAATGTTTCATGGAAACTGTTGTTAGGAAATCTGATAACTTTCCTTGTTAGTAATGCAATTAATAACCTACAAAATTCAATTTTTTAATTATTTTGGATAAAATCTATATTAAGTTAAATGGTTGGGTAATTTTTATACAAAATGGATGAACATATTTTGTGCTCATACCTGTGCCCCTCTCGGCACCGCTCCCAAAAGGTAAAATTTCATTTAACAAGTTGATAAAAGATGAATTAAAAGATGCAAAAATCTGGTTGGCTCGACTACAAATATAAACATATTATGCATTTAAAAGGACAGGTTTCCATCTACAGAAGTTACCGGTGGGGGGGGGGGCTTCAAGGCTCATGTTTAACATCATGGAGCTATAAAATATTTCATAGTTGCCAAGCTTGAAATATCAAAGAGTGAGAGGTTCTCACTTCAAAAACAGATTTTTTACAGATTCAGAAGTCAAACAACAAAAATCAGCGTTAATTCACAATATTTTCACAGGACTAGTTTCGATGGTTTTACCGAACCATCATCTTCAGCTGCAAAACCGCAAATGAACAAGATAGGAAATAATGTTTAGATAAGATAAGAAAGCCTGGACAAGAATAAGCAAGTGGCGCCATCTGTTGACGAAACCAGAACTAAAACATAATTTCTCTAAAAGCCGAAGGCAAATTTGGATTGGAATTAGGATCGTTAACTAGAACAGAAAGGTTTTTATGAATGTGAAATGCCTCTAGAAAATCCAGTTCTCCAATGGAAGATGTTTTTTGAATAATTTTGGCAGCAGAAAAATTGAAAGTGTGATTTTCGGACCAACAATGTTGAGCAACAGAAGACTTCTGTGTTTCCTTTTTTTCTAACATATGCCTCATGTTCCTTGAGGCGAAATTTTAAGGCTCTCTTAGTTTGGCCAATGTAAATTAAACCGCACTGGCAAGGAATCCTATAAATACCCCAGGAATTCATATCCGGAATGGGGTCCTTGAGTATAGAAGTTGGAATTTTTGATGGGAGAGTAAACAACCCGAAAGTTAAATTTCTGCAAAATATGTGCAACTTTATAGCTAATTGATGGAAAGATGGGAATGACAACAGAATTTTTATAATCTCCTAAAATAAGAGTGTGGCTTTTAGTGTGTTGAGATAAGAATTTTTTAACTGCTTGATTAATAATGTTGGGTGAAAATGTTTGTTGTTTGACTTCTGAATCAGATTTTTTACAGGTTTAAATGTGGCGTGGTAATAATATTTAAAACGATTTAAAAAGAATTCTAAACTGAATTAAATTCACTTCATAATGAATGATTCCGGATACTAAACTACTTAAAATGTGATTCTCATATCCAATATAATTATATTTAATATTTTTATGTTCTTTGACTAATTTCATTTTATAATTTTCTTACATTTTTATAAGAAAATTCTCAATACAGAAAGTAAGCTTTTATTTTATGAAAAGTACATTTAAATACAATGAAAATAACATTAATAATTCATGTGTTTACTAATGTGGAGATAAACTTGATAATATATCATATTTTGATGTAAAACAAAACTGAATATAGCTATTAACTGATTAAACATTGGTTAAATCAGTGGTCGGCAAAGTGCGGTTCCAGAGCCGCATGTGGCTCTTTGGCTCCTTAAGTGCGGCTCTGGTACAGATATCCACGGAGGGCTCAGTATTTTCATTTAAAAAAATCTTGGTAAGAAAAAAACTACATATTATTTTGATAAATTAAAATTCTTCTATAAATCAAGAACATGTATAATTTTTTGTTTGAGTAAAAAGTTACATGGGTAATTAAAATTTTATATTGTTGTAAAAATACGTAACGAACATCAAGTTTAAACATACACCATGTACAAGCTACCGGCATGCACGTGCATGCTTTTTATAAAGTAGTGAAGGTACAAATTGGTATCACAGAGCAGCAGTTGCGGTGTGAACAGTTTTGTCTTATCTACCGTGTCTGCCGTTGTTCCGTCTTATTAAAAAGTTATTGTATTTTTTAATCTAGCTGCACATCTTAGATATTTTTATACGATTTTATTACACCTGCAATGTATGTTTGTGGTTCCGGTACAAAATTTGTAATCGATTTTTCGATAACTTCTATTTCTTTATTCCAGTTTTGGTCATATTAAAAGTTTTGTTATTCTGATGATAAAGAAAATTATTTCTTCTCTTTTTAGTGCAGTTACATATATAAATAAAATTGTAATTTTTAAAAAGATTTTAAAATTTTTTTTCATCATTTTAATAATGATAATAATTTTATAACGGTGGCTTAACAAAAAAATATATTTGGAATATTTTTATAGGCACCCCAAATAACATGGCTACAAAAAAAAAAAAAAAAAAAAAAAAAAAAAAAAGAGCAAAGAAAAACGGAATATGAAAACCGCGAATTTTAAGATGAGTGGACCCGAGAATTTTGCGTTTTTTTCAAAACTTGAATGGACTTCCGACATGTCATTTGTAAGGAGAAATTCGCGCATAACAAGAAGTCAAATTTAGAGAGACACTTTACAAGAAGACACGCGTCCATTTATCACTAAAATATCCTAACGGTGATGCAAGGAAGAAAGCAGTTGAGGAACTTCAGAAGAGTCAAGAGTCGTCAACTTCTGTGTTTAATAACTGGATGCAATCTTCTAGCAATATTAATATGACAAGTTTTGTTTGTAGCCAAGAGATTGCTAAGAGAGGAAAACCGTACACAGACGGCGAATACATAAGAAATTGTTTTATAAATGCATCCGAAGCGCTATTTCGAGATTTTAAGAACATTCTGAAAAGAATTAAAGAGTTACCATTGTCTGCCAAAACCACTAAAGATAGAAGAATTAAAATGTGTTCGAATGTAACCACCCAGCATATCGAAGATCTGAAATTGGGTTCGGCTTTGTCAATAGCAGTTGACGAGTCTTTATGACATAAATGATACAGCGCCAGTTTCACTTTTTGTAAGATTTATGTCTCATTCAGGCCATAAAGAACTACTTTTAGGATTATTGCCACTCAAAAGTCAGCCATGTGGAGAAGATATCGCCAGTGCTGTACTTGAGTGTATGGATAAACATCATATTCCCCTCAATAAAAATACGTTCAATTTCGAACATATCGAGTTTAATTTTGATTAGTTTCAGAAAAGGGTGTTGCATT